TCAGCTGAGCGAAAGAATAAAAAGTAATAAGTACCAGGATCTCGGCTCCGACTATCTATTTACAGCCTTTGGAGTCGAAACCATCATCGTCTGTACAAAATTTTATCGAAAAAATTAATAGACTGTCTGGGAAATCCGCAGCTACCTTGCCCAACGCATTAGCATAGCAATACAAATGGGGAACGCTGCCAGCATCTTGGGCACTTTGCCACGGGGACCCAATTTTATTCATATAATTTAAAAATCCTAGTTTTACTTTCTAGTAGTTAAGCTTTTATTGTCTTTTTTACCTTACCTGTATATTATCTTTATTAAATACACATTATTTGAAGTTTTGACACAAACATATAAATGTAATAAGACAGTACCACATACACACATCAAAAAAAGTTTGCGATCAATAGCATAAGCTCCTATAATTCTTTAAATTTAACTTTATCAAGAAAAAATCTATGTTGTATGCTTTCTTTAAATAGGAATACCCTGTTTGAAATTAAAATATAAAACTATTTTTTATTATTTATTTTAAAAAATTGAGCCATTAATCATAATGTAATAGTGATAGAAATTTCATAGAAAGAAAAAGACTGTTTAATTAAACTTAAACAACAATTTATTATTAAAAGGTGTGAATTCAATATAAAATAACTCCTCCCCTGGCTCGAATACATGCGAAGATCCTCCTGGGCACGCTGAGGATCAAGTTATCCAGCATTTCCTGGGGTAACCTATCCCATTCTTCAATAGCGGCTTCCCTGAGCTCTGGAACTGTCTGGGGACGTGGCTCACGGTTCCATACTGCTCGTTTAAGAGCATCCCACGCGTGGTCTATTGGGTTTAAGTCGGGCGAGCCGGCAGGCCAGTCTAATCGTGTGATATCGTATTCTTGAAGAGCAGCATTGACTCGTTGAGCTCGATGTGCGGGCGCATTATCATCGACCAGTACAAATTGGTGCCCATGGTTTACTCGGAATGGTCTGACGATATCATCAATAGCAACTGCTTTGTACATGTCTGCTGTCATGAAGCCCCGATACGGGATCAAAGGCGTTCTAGCTCCAATCATAATGCCACCCCAAAAGGACACCGATTTTCCGCCTTGCTGAACTGTTCCAGTGGCAGTTCTTTGTCTTTCACGGTCGCCTGGTCTTCTCCAGACACGGACACGTCGGTTATCTGGATGAGTGCTGATTCGGGATTCGTCAACGAAGAGACAGTTTTGCCAAATGTTTTCGTCCTCACCTTCTTCATTTTACCGAAGTCTAGCCCACTGCAATCTTCGTTGTTGATGTTGCCGGGAATTGAGCGGAGCTCGCCAAGACCTCCGTGCTCGTAATCCAGCCTGGTGCAAGCAATTGCGAACGGTCTGCGTGCTAACTTCAAGCCCAGAGGCGGCCCTGACTTCTGCTTTTATTTTAGTGGCGTTGATTGTTGGATCACGGGCTGCCAGCAATCTAATATAGCGCTTTTGGGCAGCTGTCAAAACAGTTGGGCGACCGCTGCGTGGTCGGTCAGCTAAATTCCCCATTCCGTGATACCTCTGCAACGTAGCCACGACACAGGATTGGGATATACCAAGTCTGCGTGCTATTACTCTCGTGGTGTATCTTTCTTCCCTCAAAGTTACTATTCTAGCTCGTAAAACCTCTGATAATCCTCTTGGCATTTTTTCAATCACAACTTTCCGCGAAAAATATCTTGAATCGCTTATAATTGACTAAATCGGATTTCTGAATGAGCGTAAGCTAGGACTGAAAGCCTTTTTATATGAAAAAACAATTGAACGGGGTCATTGTTTTATGTTCTAATTTATTTTTAAATATTTTAATTTTGTTCTAATTTATTTTTAATTTTTAAATCACAATATAATCTACAGTAACAAAAAAGATTTCAGTTTTTCGAAGTGATCGCAAACTTTTTTTGATGTGTGTACTTTGCTCCGATCCCAAAGTGAGTAACTAAAGCTCTTGTATTATGGAAATTGCTAGCAACGAACGCTGGTCTATTGTATATAGCCAGTAAAATGCTCTTTACACATGTGGTATCACACACGCCAGTTGAAATTTAAAAAATTAGGATTTTTAGGATTTGTTATTTCTTTAGTGTTATATGTAATGAATAAGGTACTCTTTTCTGGGAAGCAGTAGAGCTTCTTGTGAAAGATTTCATCCAGGGAAGTACTGCCACTTTACGCATTTTTGCCGCCAAGCAGTAATGTGAGCATTCTCGTTTTGAAGGGTAACAGTGCTGGTGAAATGACAGGCCCACGAGACTTGTCAACTTAGCCCCTCAGATCTTTCACTGCAACTGTTATGGTCAGGTGTGTCGTTTACTACCAGGTGCACGACTTGTTCGTCCCGTGTTTCGTAAATTCTTTTTATATATTCTTTTATTTATTTCACCCTTTACAAAAAAAAAACTCTTCAAACTGTTATATAGGAAATAAAAAACGTAAGGTAGACAATAAGTTAGTACTATTTTAAATTAATACATATGTTATGAAGGTACGTTCAAGAAGAAGAACATTTTACTGTCTACATAGAGACAGATATTTTTGTATTAAGTTGTTGTATTACGTGTACAGGACTTAAAGTAACTTTTCAAATAGTCCGAACATTTGAAGTGTGATTTTTGTTCCATTGTAGCAGCTTTGACCGAAATCGAGACATAAACAAAAAGTGTTAATTAATATATAATTTCATAAGACTTTACAATCGAATGATTTCGTGAAAAGGTAAATAATAGTTTTGAGGAAGTTCGTGTTCTCTTAGCCTCCAATTACTACTTACTCATCATCATAGTAATTTTAGCTGAAAGACGTCCTGCTGGACATAGATCTACCCACGATGAAATGACATGACACGCGAAGTTGTGTGGCCACGCTGCGTCTTCCGGTACTCGGTCGCCACTCGAGAATTCTCTGGCCCCATCAGCTATCTGTTCTGCGAGCAATGTTTCATGTGCTACTTAGCTTTTTATTTTATTATTTAATTGAATCTGGTTTGGGTGTTACGTGTAGTGCACTCGGAGTCATTCGGTGCTCTGATGCTGGTGCACCGCAGAAAATAGACAAACCTATTCCCGACAGATCAATCAGAAGGTAGGTACGACACTCGCTAATTAGGAAACGACACACGGATACTTATAAAAATACTTGATTACTTGTTTATATTACAGTGTAGTCGTGGACAGACAGCTTGCGTTGCAGTCATAAAATATGTTACGGCAACTTTGCTACGGATGTGTCATAATAGAGGGCCATTGTGTTGTGACCGAATTGCAATTTGCTTCCCGCCGCAACGCTATATTTTGTACCGTAGATTGTTAGACGCCACAGCTTTCTGTTTTGGCATGTCGTTTAAAAAAAAATGGAAAATACAGTATATCTAATTGAGGCTATGACCACAAAGAAAGAAAAAAATAATAATGTGAGCTACACCACTTTTGCGCCAATACCCTCAATTATCCGTTACAGCATACTATTTGAAACTCAAAACCTTTGAACCATGCGGTTATCAGAAAGAGAAACACTTCGTTTTTTTTCAACGCTCACTTTCCTTTGCAATAAACACCCGTCTAACAGTCATTTACAATTACTATAATTGATCATGCGTATTAAAAAACAACAAAACAACAAAAAAACAACACGCTAAGTACTTATTAGAATGAGTTATTTTTATTCTAAGTCTCTTTACTTCTTGTTCTAACTATTGCATATTCGGGACTTCACGAATACAATTTTGTTTGTTAAACACATCGAGTGCATAAACATTTTTTAATATTAAAACATTCAATGCAATTATTATAATTAATAGTGTATTGTATATCATTCATGTCACGCAGAACAGGTGCCATAGTACCGGTATATGTCTACTTTAATTGTTTTGTGATATCCATGATTATTATATATTATACACAATTGTGTTCAGAATGAGAGTACGTCGTGGGTATCTTTTCTCATGATAATTTCACTTGTAACTTTGTAAAAAATTGCACAGTTACATCATAATATGTAAGGTACGTTGTTGCTACGCATGATCTCGGAGATTATTCGAGAAAATTTCACTTTCTTCGTGACACGAGATGTTATCTCTATTATGGTGGCAGTTGGAATGGAAATGGGCGTTATTATGGGCATTTTACGCGTCGAAAATTGCATTTGAGAGATAGTGCATGCTCATGGTAGATAATAATGGTTTTCGGTTTTGTGGTTTGCTTTAAATGGAGTTAGTTATAAGTAGTCATGTGAATGTAATATTAAGTAGAAAATCAGTGTAGAGCAAAAGAGTAGATACTATATGTACAAAGCGTCTCATGGCTTTTTGTTCTTTTTCTTGAACGGTGATACGTAAAAGGAATTAATCATTTATCCTTTTGATCGACATGATAATTATAAAAAAAACCGGAATCAAAAGTTCCTTGAATTACATTTATATTTACCAAGTTTTATTGAGTTACCGGAAAGTGCGCAAAACCGGATTCATCTCCCAGTATGCTACACTTACAGATGGAATATTTTCCTCAAATTTAAATGGGGCCAATATTGCGGTACCTTATTTCCGGCAAAAAAGAATCATCAAATCGATTCACAAATGCCGCAACACAAAAAAATACAGGTGTAGGTACCTGGGATGGTGTGGTAGACAAGAGTGGAAGAAACAAACAACTTTCCCCACCAGGGGGATAGCTGATAGGGATTAGTGGAAAATACAGTTTTTTTCAAGTTTTGTGGGTTCGATTACCTTTGTCTTTGAATAATAGAGTATTACTTATTTCTAAAAATAAAATAATGTATTTATAAATCCATGCAACAAAATGACCTGTCTATATATTTAAAGTAGTTATTAGCCTTCGTGTCCCACGCCGTGGAAAGCCTTGTATGTTTGATGTTTGGAACTGAAAATATCGAATTTAGTTACCTAACAAACAGTATAATACAATTCACTACGTTTATTGCGAACGAGGGTACTCCAAGGCATTTAAGATTATGTTCATTCCAGGACCACCAGTTGCGATGAGGAGCCGCATCAGCGTGGCCAAATGGCCTTTGCAAACTCTCCAAGTTCGGCGCGTCGCCACTACTACCTCGATACCACAGGCCGCTGAAACTGGATTGGATAAGGGTACTAAAAATGATGCAAAAAGAGTTATAAGTTTGAAACCTTTGTCTGTACATATAACATATGTGTCGGAACCGTCATGTTACAGAATTGAATCTTCAGACATCGTTAAAGCAGATTTAGGGATCGTGCAATACATTTAATAGTGACACTGTGTATTTTAATTACTATGAAATCGAATAAAAACTTGTACGTTCTGTATTATATATTGATTTTAACGATCATAATAGGCAGAAGGCATTTTACAATTTTAAGATTTACAATTTTATAAAATCTTTTATTATGTATATATATATCATGTGACGGGACGAACAAGTCGTGCGTCTGGGGGTCTACTCTCATCCTCCGTCCGACATCCGTCCGAAAAAATAACTGTCAAATGACGTCAGACTGAGAACGAGTAGACCCCCTGATCGTAAGCTACACGCTACACTGTCCATGACACTTGCAGGGCCACTCAGTGCTTTAAATCGCAAAGATCTGAGGGGCACTACCACTGCACCTGTCACCCTGAGACATAAGTTGATAAGTCCCGTGTGCCAGTAATTTCACCAGGACCTTTACCCTTCAACAGTAATGCTAACACTACTGCGTGGCGGCAGAAATAGGTAATATGGCAGACTGCCCTGGACGAACTCTTCCACAAGGAGCTTTAAATACATTAAACTCTTCTCACTCAGGAAAGTCCTCACGACAGTCTTGCCCAGTCCATGGACAGCGCTCCCGTTCCACTCACGCGGCTCTGGACACCGCGATCTTCGAAAGAGTCTCTGGCGTCAAGTCCTGGGATGAAGTTCCTGGGCCTAAGCCGTTGCCTTTACTGGGCAATACTTGGAGATTTGCTCCTTTTATCGGTAAGCAATTAATGATTTTGCAATTTATTATATCGTAGCGCCATCACACGATAGATATCGAAATTTTAAATCACACAGTGTAAATAACTTTCTCCGTCAACATTGTATATAAATCGTATCCGTAATATCTCAACAAATCAGGGTTTTAATTAGCTATTATAACACTTATGTAATTATTTAGTGAATGTAATTATTAATTTCTCAATTCAAGAGCAATGCTCTTGTTCAATGTCAATCTTAATAGAAATATCGATGACGAAGTGACGTGATGTTGCGTTGATTAAAAAATGGCGGCGTGTAAATTTTAGTACTTGTGACGACTTATAAATCATATCGTATCGATATAAATCCTAGTGACTGTAAAAAAAAATACATTGCCTACCTATCACAGGCTCAGTGGTTAGCAAACAGGTGCGTTAGATGACGAGGTGTTGAATTTTATTATATTTTTTTATTGTATCAAGTGACGGGACGAACAACACGTGCGCCTGATGGTGAGCAACATGCCTGTCCATAACAGTTGCAATGCCACTCAGCTCTTTGAATCGCAAAGATTCAGATCTTTGCAGCAAAGCCACTGCGCCCTGAGACATAACTTGACAAGTCCCATGTGCCTCTAATTTCACCAGCACCCTTACCCTTCAAAACAGGAGCATAGTAATGACATTACTGCTTGGCGGTAGAAATATAAGATAAGGTGGCTGTACTTCCCTGGACGAACTCTTTCACAAGGAGCTCTACTGCTATTTCCGGTGAGACCAATTTCGAAACAAAATTTCTGGTTAGTACTCTCTTAGTTTTGTTGCTCTATTACTGATAATTTGTGTATTGGTGTACTTAGTTGTTTGGCACATTATTATATTGCAAATATTTTAGAATTTTTAACCCACTTCAAAAATGGTGGTGGTTCATTTTGACTGTATTTTTTATGTATGTATGTTACGCTATTACTCAATATTTGTGAACCGATTTTGATGATTATTTTTTATTGGAAAGAGGGTATTGGTCGCATTTAAATTTGAAGAAAATATTCTGCCTCTAAGAGTGGTAAACTAGGGGATGAATCCGGTTTCGTTCGGTAACCTTATTTTTTTAGTTTTCATTGCATATTTATTCTTAAATTCTTTGGATGAGCCCTTTTTCAACCGAACAAAAAATTAGGATGATTTACGTTTATTGTTTGCGATGTTGGATCCCTATATACATACATAGAATACATTACAAAACAGTAATTCCATACTTCCAACGATTTCAATGCTAACAATAGGTAACAAAAGAGCTTTTATTAAACAACCAAACAACATAAAACAAATAAACAGCAAAACTAAACAATGCATTCCGAAAAACATTATTTTTGCGTGTGCGCGTAATCTTTGACTTACCCATTGTTGAAAAAAACATCTAATTCGTCATAGTTAAATGATTTCAAAGTTTTGAAATCATTTCACTATGACGAAACCAGGTGAATATACAGATTGCACCTGCGGTGAAACACAGATTAACAGACGATTGACTCAAGTAACCGTGACTATAAGACCTGTAAAGGACTTCAAACGTTGGTTTGTTTGAAAAAACAAATATACGCGATTTAAATCAGGAAAAATAGTTTCATTTGTTTTGAGAAAATTACCTTTTGAACCTAAGTTAAAACCTTTACTCACTAAGTAAATTATTTTAATATTACACATATAGATATCGTTCTTACTTACCGACATAGGTTAACAACCTCATAGTTGCATACTTATTGCAGTTAAGTTGCACCAGTAAAAAGTGAACGGAAGGAATTTTTGTACTGCACGCATCATGCACGACTACGGGCTGTTAATATATTTCCTATATATGTTTCTATTTTGATTTGTTTGCTCTATGAAAAATAATGATGTGACAAAATGTGACCTGAAGTTGACCTGACTTCATTATCTAGAATTTTTAATTTCAAAACATATTTACTATTTACTAAGAGCGTTTACCCGCTACTCTCAGACTTGAACCATCTAACGAAACATTTAGACGCCGGCTGAAAGACCTTTTCTTCAAAATTCCTTTATACTTTGTAAATGAATTTATGGACCTAAAATTGTAATGATATTGAGTATTTTCTGTTTTATTCTAATTTTTACCGAATTGACATACTCTTGTATATTTGTTATCAACTTATGACAATCCTTGATGGAGAAAAAAAATGTTTGATGTGTAATTTAATGATAACAATATTATTTAATGAATTGTTAATTTTCTAACTATTGTGCATTTTTTTTATAATTTTCATTTTTGTCTGACAATCTCAATACAATTTCTTATACTTTGACATGTAGTGCAATTTATACTGTAATGTAATAATTGAGAAATAAATGAATCTGAATCTGAATCAATTTGCAGATCACTAATATGTTTAAAACTAAATTACTATTTACTAGTTACAGGTTTCTTATTAAGATATGATTTTTTCTTGTTATCCCATATTTATATCTTATGTCTCAGGGAGACTGGTGCAGTGGTAGAGCACTTCGGATCTTTGCGATTTAAAGTTCTGAGTGGAACTGCCACTGCTATGGACAGGCGTGTCGCTTACCACCAGACGAACGGCTTGTTTGTCCCGTTATCATAAAAAAAAAATTAAATAAATAAGTGAATTATTAGCAAATTATGAACGGTAGATTTTTCTAGTTACTTTGCAATGATAATGTCAACATAAGTAGGAATACAACCCGAAACAATTACTGTCAAATATGTAATACCCATTTAAAAGACCATGCGAAGACAGTACGAAGCTTCATTCGCATCATGCGTTTTTAAATTTGGTCGAGTATTACTTACTTGACAGTAAGCGCGTAAGTAATATAAAAGTAAAACTCAGACGTTTCGGATGTCGCTTGTGCATTAAGCCGATTCGAATCCGAGAAAATACAAATATCGCTTATACATCTAGAGATAAAATGATCCCTGTGACATTTCGGACCGTCATTTTTCGGATTCGGAACCGATACTTATGGGACGTAATTTTTTCGGACGAATGTCGGACGGAGAACGAAAGTACAGGGCTTGGTATAGAACTTTGTAATACAATATTTTACACTTACCAGTGTCATTTGATTGTTCTCTTGTTTTATTGTCCATATAAATAAACAAAATAATTTGGTAGCAAAAATTTAAGAATGCGACCAATAAATGACGCTTTGGTTTTTGTTGAATGTAGTAGTTATAAGTATTTTTATCATTGTAAGAGATTTCGTGTTTTTTTTATAATACTAAGTGCAGGGCCGAACAAGTGCGCCTGGTAATCTGCTATAAAGGTTATAAATTGACGATGATTATTTTTTGAAAGTTTCAATGTCAAGCCTCAAAGCAAAAACAAATCGTATTGTACTTAATTTTTATATAGCGCCACTCCAAAACGCCTGGTGTCGATATTATAAAAAAAAATCATGTGTTGACTGTGTAGAGCGACGGTTGACGGCTTTATGAACATACATAGCTGTCTATCATCTTCCGTTGTCAAGATCAACCCTAATCTTGGTTTCTTGCAGTGTTACCATTGTCACACGCGTTTTTCCGACAACGACATTCACTGAAGTCGAATCATTTTTGTTGTTATTAGCACACACACACTAAGCACTAGATTCGGCTATAGGAATAATAACAAAAAGTTTTGCAGTGGTAATAAAGCTGTAACTTGTGATGATAATAATCGGCAAACCCGAATGTGCATCGGTGAACATTTGCGATGCGCTACACGGTGTCTACTCTCGTTCTCTGTCCGAAACTATTATAGTCATTTATGTAATTGATACTCGACCAAATTAAAAGATAACGTCAAGTATGAATCTTCATTCGCATCCACTGTATTTGCAGATAGGCAATACGACAAACGTGCGGCCAACATATTTGAATAAGGAATTTAAAATCTACAGCAAATAGTATTTCGAGTGTAAAAAGATTATATCGAAATGGATTGCGAGGAAAATATATGAAGAAGTTGAGAGAGTTGACACACACACACACACGCTCAAACAAAATAATTTTAATATTTTTGTAGTCTTGAACTATGTAATGAGAAATGTGTTTTGAATGACTAGTTGGCTTAGGTAATTTAATACGTGTAGCGAATAAAGAGCGGTGCCTCCTCACACAGGCTATGCTTAAAAGAAGGCTCTGGCCACTATTGTTTAAGAAACCATATTTTTAAGAAGTAAAGATTTTATTATCATTATCACCATCATTATCATCATCATCATCGTCATCATGCGTCTTTTAATTTGTTTACAAACTGTGTAAACAATTAAGTAAGTGTAAGAAGATTAATTACTTAACAGTAATTGTTTCGGACAGATGTTGGACGAAGAACGAGACTACAGGACCAGAATCGCAGCAGCAACAAAAACTCGACTATTTGCGAACGAAACCGTAGGCTGGTGTAAAAGGTCTGGCAGTAACCTTTACGTTGTTAATATACACCTTACCTATATGTGTATAGGATTATTATTTAAAGTAAAAAAAATTGGAATAAATCGAGTTTTACGAAAGTACTGTATGATATTAAAATCTTTTGTCTCATCAGTTCGCTATTGCAATCAAAAGCTAACCTTAACATTTTAGATATACGGACTGCATTGGTAGATAATGGGTCTTTGTCTATGATGCAAGCAACGTTACAGTCCCAAGCACACTTTATGATTTTTTTAGAAATGTCCTTGTCCTCGCGTCACTCTGACAAATTGTTGTTACGATGTCTTACACAAATAGTAGTAGGTGATCTGAAGATTAAAGTTTTTAATGCAAATGCATTGCCTTTTTACAAGTCGGAAATGGCCACTATATTTTGTATGCATAACTCACTTTTGTCTAGGCTTATGAAGCTTTACACTTAGGACTTTGAGTCGTTCTTATCATAAGCGATATAGAGTTGAATCTAAAAGTCTCAATTGTCATGCTTAAACTTATATTTCTGTACACTTGAATTGAGTGAACCTGTTGCCTGAGTGAAGCAAAGCTTTCATAGA